TTAATACGAATTTCAGTTTTTAGTCTGTGTTAATTTGGTTCTAAATTTCTTTTTTTAAGTATATATTTACTGATCAATTTTTAGCAGAATAATCCATGAATGATTGAAATTCCATGAAATGCATGAAAATGAAGGATTATAAATTTTTTTAAAAAACTTATTTGCATAGTCCAAACACATTTGCATATATATCTATTGCACATAAATCCCTTTGCTACACAAAACATAAATGTATGTATAAAATAACTAAATAAATTGTAAAAGAAGTCAGGATAAAAATTATTCTGTCTTAAATCTTAAAATGGTAGTATGAAATTTATAATGCCAAACATCAAAATAGATGAAAGTAAATAAATTTAAATTATGGAAAGTACTTTATAAAATTAATAACAAGTGGTTGAAAACATATATTTTAATTACTTAAAACATGGAAGTTATTTGGCAGAGATTGTTGGATACAAAATTACTTCTTCAAATTTTCAGATTACTATTGTTCATATTTAAAGTCTCAACTTGGAATCTTAATCCACATAACAACCATTGCAAAAAAATCACCCGTTATCATATTCCAAAGATCAGCAGCATACATTTTGTTTTCAAAATCTTACATAATATTAAATATTGGCTTTTGATAGTCAAGTTGCTACAAATAAGATGAACTGTTTATATGATTTCAGACTAGTAGTTTATTCTTCCATTCACTTACTTTTCTATAGTACTTCATTTTTTATATGCTCTACTATTCAAAATTTCAAGAGCTTTCCGGATATTTTTTACGGTACACACCAGTATTTACATCGTCTAAAGTGCACACACACATACTTGAAATGAATTTATTTTTACAGCTAAACACAGGAACTGGAAAGCAAAAAAGTACTTATTCCGAGATTGTATTTCTTTTTCGTTCATGAAAATCAAATTTCACTACAAAAACATGCGATCACACTGCACAAGCATGTATGGAAATTCTTAGTACATTTAGTAATCCTGATAATTATGTTAAATAAATCAAAAAATATACTACGGTGCGCTTTTGAAAGAATTGCGTTGCTGATTGTGTGTTTAAGTGCTAATTGCGAGATTTTCGTAATTTAAATTACTATGAGTGGAAATTTACGCAAATTTATTTCATGGAATTAATTTAAATTTTATTTACTTTCATCTATTTTGATGTTTGGCATTATAAATTTCATACTACTTTTTTAAAATTTAAGACAGAATAATTCTTATCCTGACTTCTTTTACAATTTATTTAGTTATTTTATACATACATATATTTTTTTGTGTAGGAAAGGGATTTATGTGCAATAGATATATATGCAAATGTGTTTGGACTATGCAAATAAGTTTTTAAAAAGAAAATTTATAATCCTTCATTTTCATGCATTTCATGGAATTTCATTCATTCATGGATTATGCTGCTTCATATGTAGAGCATATAAAAAATGAAGTACTATAGAAAAGTAAGTGAATGGAAGAATAAACTACTAGTCTAAAATAATATAAACAGTTCATCTTATTTGTAGCAACTTGACTATCAAAAGCCAATATTTAATACCTTCCAGATTTTTCATACTGTTAATGTACAAGTGGAATCAGGAGTGAATTGTTCTTCTCCTCTTTCCTCGCTGATTAAAAATAACCATTAACTAAAGATTTTGCGTAAATTTCCACTCATAGTAATTTAAATTACGAAAATCTCGCAATTAGCACTTAAACACACAATCAGCAACGCAATTCTTTCAAAAGCGCGCCGTAGTAGTCAAAAGTGGGGTACGTCATTTTCTATTTGCCAGGTGAAACTAGTCGATATTTCCGTGACGTCAAAAATTTGAAAAGTGAGGTAGGGTTCGGAAATACACCTCCGGGACTCAGAGGAAGTGCTTATACCATGGCGGTAAGAAAAGACTTCTTACCTCCATGGCTTATACCATCCTTAAGGTGGCTTTTGACTGACTTGTCAGTCGGCTAAGTGTCCGTATCCGCTAACTGGTGTCGGTTAAGTGTCTCGTCGGCTATGTATCTGCGACTGCTAAATTACACCTAAATGCTTTTTACCTCGTACAATAGAAATGTTACAAATCTGTTGAAAATTTTTGCGTTTCTAATTATAATTATTTTTAACATGGTTATCAGTTTTTTTTCCGAAAAAAAAAAAAAAAAAAAAAAAAAAAAAAAAAAAAAAAAAAAAAACATTACCAACTTTCTTTCCTCTTGAACTTAAGCACTGTTAAAATTATTACCAAGTTAACAGTGCTTAAGCCAACAGAGTTTAATAAGTATTAGTGTTTAATAATAAATCTTATTTTCGTCTGGATATCTCGTACATAACGATGATGGAGAATATACTCGTGTGTAATACAAGGATCCATTACCATGAGCGTAATGGCAAACCGCACATTGAGTTGATCAATGTTAAATGAATTTCGCTTACTGCGCATGCTCAGAATAGAATTTGGCGCAACGACAACCATTTTAAAAAAAGATAAATTCGGTTTATGGTTGATATTGTATTATCTGGGCGTAAACCGTTCAAGGTTTTAAAACTTGTTAGGCTGTAAGTTGCTTCATTATTTAAAGTGTAACTTTCGATTGTAAACTACGCAAATTTTCGTTTAAGAAGAGTATATAATAGTAATAAAAATAATAATAACAAACAAGTAATAACAAAACAGGAAACATTACAAGATACTATATTAGCCGAATGCTTATTGATTATATTTCTGAGGAATAAAAGTAATTGAGTATTTACCATACGTTCCATTCGTATATACTTTATCAAATTAAGGAATAAATTCAGTTCAAATTGATGAATTAAAGTCAAATAGCTGATATTAATTGTAAAATTTATGAACAAAATAAGCCCAAAAAATGAAACAGAAGCACATCAATAAGCACATAACAGATTTCTATAGTAATGCAATTGTAAAAAAAAAAAGGTACCCCCCCCCAACATGGCTAACAAACAGCCTTGTGTAGGGTTGCTTATGCTTAGTGGACAGGATTTCTTCCCATGCTAGCGGTATACTATTGAGCATGCGCAATAAGCAAAATTCGGTAACACTGATCAACTCAATGTGCGGTTTGCCATTACGCTTACCATGACTATTAAAAAAGTATAAAGTGACTGAATTTTTTTTTTAAAAAATAATCTATTTCGCGCTTTCTGTCACACAGTATTGTTTGTGAGCACAATTACTTCACATTAGGTCTCATACTTGAAAAAGAATTGTATTTCGGTACAGCGCTTACTTCCGCAACATGTTACACAGAAAATTGAGTTCTTCAATGCTAACCAGAACACTTCACCAGCTAACCAGAACACTTAAAATCGTAGCATTAAATACATAAAACCTACAAGCATTCTATAGGTTCTTAAGCTTCTGGGATATCTTGGACTGTCATCTCATGCATCAAACTTAACAAAACTTTACACCCTCTAGCGTAAAATGCTTCGATTTTAAATTCAAAGGTAAATTACTGTTAGGAATTTCAGTAAAGCATGAATGTGAATGTTTGTTCTCACAAAGTTACATAGGCTTTTATGAAACGAAAAATGAAATATTACTTGCGGCAGAACACAGAACTGGAAGCTTTTTTTTTTTTTTAGTTTTTTTTTTAAGTTTTTTTTTAGGCTGGTTGCACAAATTTAATAACTTAATAACTTGGGTTTATCGTATTAGTATGAGATGTGTCCGGTATGAAAATATTACCGAGGATACTTCCAATTATTAAATACCTTAAATTTGATCAGTATTTTGTAAAAATGTTCTGTGACTTCAATCTACTTTTAAACACATGACGAAAAACATCCTTCCAAATCTGTTCAATTTCCTGAATACTCTGTTCCATTACTTTTATTACTTCAAAATAATACTATTAATATTATGTATAGGATGTTCTAAAAAGAGAGCACAGGCTTACCGAAATATTGTTAGCACACATGCACATTTATTCACAAAGGTTCTCAGAATAACGTAAAACACTTTTTGAAAACCATTTCAGTAATGTGGATGGGAAGGCTTAATTTGTATGAAACTATTTAACTTAAATTTCAAAGAAATAGCACTGAAAGCAGAAGAAGGTTTAAAATAAATTTGTATAAGTTCTTTATTTTAACAAATTTGAGCCACCCAACCGGTATAGTGGTTAGCGTCGCTCATTGCCGTGTCCAAGGTCCCAGGTTCGAATCCCGGAGAAGGAGTGGATGTTAGCAAATGTATAGTGTCCACGCGGCATGGGGGCACTTTAAATATGCGGCGAGCCGAAAGTCCTCTCGAGAAGTTGATGGTAAAGGAAGAGGGTGAAATAAACCGTCCCCCCGGGTAGCTTGCCAACGACAGGCGTATCTTGCGCTCCTTGCCAAAAGGATTTTCGTGGGCTTGGGATGACCATAGGTCATCAACAACAACATACCATAGCATTAGTCAACAACAACAACTTTCACAAATTTACATAGCTCGTCCAGTAACAGAAGACTTCCGCTGTTTGCGGAGGATTAGATCTCAAGAGTTAAGACAAAACTTAAAATAATACTGAAAAGAAAAGTATTGAAAAGACAAATTGGTAGTTCGAACCAGATTCAAATTCCCGTGAACGTTTGGCTGCTTGGGTGTTGTCGCGGTTTTCCGTTAGTTCCCGGAAATATAAGTCCTTTTCTTTAAAACGTCCTCCACGAAAGTTTCCGTTCCCTCAGCGTGCTTTGCCGTAATAAAATGACATGATTTGGTTTTGGTTTATGTGATTACGGCAAAGCTTCAAGGACAATCTGCAAAAGGGAAGGGATGCCTTCGTGGGGTACTTTCTATGGGAAACTGGCTCGTATACAAGTTACGCATAGGGAAAACCACGAAAACGCCCAGCCCGTTCGTGGGATTCGAGTCTCGGACCGAGATACCAGTGTTCAGTGACGTTACCATTCGGCTGCTGGTGGGCTTATCATAGAACGAAATGTATTTTAAGAAACAATAAATATCAAAGCATATGGAATATTAATTTACCTGTTGGCACCGTGCTATGTAGAAACGATCCAATGTAACTGAGGTAGCAAGTAAGACAAGTGAATATGGTAACCAACAGCAGCAGGTCTCTTACGGAACGCCATCTGGTGGGCGGACGGAACCTCATGAAAAACCGAGTTTTGAAGGCTCTCTGAAACAACAAAACGAAGCAATTAACATTTCCACACAGTAAAACACGACGTAAGTGCGAATAGCACTAGTTTCACAACAATTTATGCATTTAAAATTGCATTCTGAGAGTTCTCTTAGCATTTAGATTCAGAAAATTCTAAATGAATCCCGAACGTATTTTACTTTTTAAAATTTTATACATATGATAAAAAAGAAATTTTAAAAGAAAGCATTTATATAATGCTGTTTGCTCTCGTTTCCAATAAGGATATACCCAGAATTTATCATGGTTATTGCATTCCTTTTGGTTGTTTTTTAAGCGTTAAGCATTTTATAAATTGCAAGTACGACTCCCAATTAAAGTAACGAAAATTTTTTGGCTGAAATAACATTTATAATACTTTTACATTACTTACATCTAATGTTGCCAATTCAATACGATTCAAAATAATTTTCTTTCGCTGAACATTCAGCGAATGCGTAATTTATATTTAAATCCATTCAAAAATAGTTTTTACTGTTTATTTACAGTACTATTACAGTGAACTAATAAAATATTTTAAAAATTATCTGCAACAATTATACGATTCTTTAAATAGAAAAGATGTTTTTCAGTTTATAACATTGATACTCGTTACTATATTTCTTTCCTTTGGAAAAATTAAATACATACTGTTTCACATCGTTACATTCTATGTAGCTTTATATATATATATATGTATATATATATCTATATACACACAGAGTAAGCCAAAAGTTCGTTAAAACTTTAAAAATTCATAAAAAAAGAAAAAATAACAATAAAGAAGTGAGGTTTGCAAGGCAGCGCTCACAAGGAAGTCGGATTTTTTTTTTTTGTAGAAACAAAATAGTTACAAATATCACTGGTAGAGGACTCTGACAGGCCAAAGATTCTAATTAATTTTGCAATAGGAATACGTGATACACAAGTATTTTTCAATCGCTTTCAGAATGTTATCATTGCCCGAGCGAGCGTTGTTGGTAAAGTTGTCCTATTTGAATGGAGAGTCAGCAACTGTTGCGTTGCGAAAATTTCGCATAGCGAAAGGACTGAAGACGAAGAATACATTGTATATATATATATATATATATATATATATAATATGAACCAAAGTTCGTTAAAACTTTATATATATATACCTCATTAGACTTGTGTATTTATGTGCATCCAATACATTGTAATTGACATCATGCATTACTGTTACACAGTTATGCACTTCATCATGTTCTGAATAGTATATATGCTTTTACAATACATTCAGTTTATTTTAGTATGTGTAGACTCGATAGGGAAAACTTTTGCACATAATTCAGTTTCGAAAAGACGCAGTTACAGTAAGAACATAGCAAATGAAAAGCAAACTTAGATAAAGCACAAGTTAACTATCACAATGTTATTTCTTTAAAAGCAACCTGATGCGTTCCAATAAGAATGTATAATTTTAATAAAATTACAATATCTAATAAAATATCTTCATTTCTGTTGGTCTTTAAATTGAATGTCGTTTGTTTTTACTATTGTCTCTGCTACTCCATAGACCCCAAATCATTCATAAATAATTAGAGAAGCTGAATGTGCAGTTGACTCAGAGAAATCGTAGATTGCATGCCAGTTCATGTTCGCTTCGGTGTGATTGCTCATTTCTTTTATTAGGCTACTTTTTTTAACCGTTAGATGGGAAATGTTGGTGTGACCATCACATGTAGTTAGTAAGGGTTTGTCTTTGTTAGCAAGGCGAAAACAGGGCTTACATGAACAAATCCATTTTAAAATTTAGGGAAGCTTGTTCTCTGAACGCGTTTAGAAAGGATAAATTATGTGACTATTTTAGAACCTGAGGAACCTAGGGAAGAAAATAAGGTATACTTTTGCATATGCGACTACTACTACACATTAAATATATGGTATGCACTATATATGAAATAGTAGTCGCATATACTAAAGTATATATAATAAACGGCTACTATTACACAAGTACTTTAGTATATGTCGCTATTATTATGTATCTAATTTAGTATATATGTTTACTGCTACGTTTATACTATTTTAGTATATGTGGTTACTACTATATATGTATTTTAGCATATGCGTCTACTATTACACATATGTACTTTAACATGTGAGGCTACTACAGATGTTTCTGTAGTATTTGCGGCTAAAATTACACATACTAATACTTAAGTACATGTTACTTTTATTACATATGTACTTTAGTATATGTGGCTACTATTAATTACTGAATATATGGTCACATACTTCAGACAGAGATTTTGCTTCTCCAAAGAGAATATAATATTAATACAGTGCTTCCCAGCCAATGTATCACAGTACATTATGTATTACTACGCTAGCACAGCAATAAACCCTTGTATGGCCATATGTTGTTTGATTAGAATCAATAAATACTGGGCCTGGGCAGCTGGCTGGGAGTGCACCCTTGCCGGCGGATTGGTCAGAAGCACTGCAAACGGGATCGTCGGTGCGTTGGGTCTGGGCGCTCCGTGCGAGACTCCCACGTGGCTCCAAATAGTCAACTCTAGATAATGGCGGATGTAGTGCTACTACCGGTTAACCTTAACGGTGGAGGGATGGTGCCCACGTCCTCCGTCACTTGTCACTTGGCTGGCTCAGCTTCACACTGAGTGCGCTTTGTAGCGCAAAACTGCACCAAATATACACGAAGTTTTTGATTTTAAAAACAATTTATGACTTTTAGAGAGGCTCTTAGATACTTGAAAACCGCATTATATAGTTATCAAAAAGCCATAAAAGTTTGATACATATTATATCTTCGTTTGGTATAGATCGACTAATGGCATTATGGCTAATGCCTAAAAAAACTGACACTATGACCGAGTTTAGTTTCCGGTGTTTGAACGAAAAGACATGACTTGACATGGATTTTCGCACTGTGATTTTATTGTTTTTTCTTCCCAATATTCTTCCCCTCTCCCTTTCATTAGTTCAAAAATTTGATTACTTGAAAAATGCCATCAACAAAAATGTTTTGTCCCATTTATATCTATGAAACGATATTCTTCCTTTGAAACAGTCATAATAATCTCCTCATCATTATACTTTACACTTATAGTAATTAGAAAATTGCCAGGATTTTCCATATTTGAGCTTCTAAGGTAATTTTTCTCCTGTTAATAAAATTAGCTGTTGAAGCTTAAAAAAACGTAAAATCTAGAGAAATTTATGATATACTTTGTCAAAATGATTGAATACGTTAAGATAAAACAGCACAGATGCATAGTCACGAAAAGAAGCATTAATAAATTTTCCGTTCCTTCATTTATTAATGCCACAACTAGTATTTAACTTCTCCTCTTTGGAAAAATCCTTCTTCAGTCTATAAAAACATTTTTATTCAGTCTTCAGTGCTTTAAGCGAATAAGTTTCTCTTAAAGCCTTCTAAATTCATCAAAAAATATCAGCTTCAGCAAATAATTTTGATTCCATAGCTATCTTTCCAAAACCACAGAGTGGTACAAAAGTTGCGCATATCACGTGAACTTCTCAATTTCGTTTGTATAACTGTACATCTATCGCTTGATGACACTATTGGAATATCAACAACTAGCATACACTCCATTTCACCTTTAGTCGCCATATGGCATCTGCGTAAAAGATATGTTTGTATTGCTAAATAGATATGTTGCTTTCCAACGAATTTCCAGTGTTGAACAATATTTCGCTAGTAATTCACATGCACATGTCTTTTGATGAATTTATCAGAAATGCATGCACGCGGGAATGCCTAACAATAAGAGGATAACAAGACTAACCGCTCGAGTCAGAAATGCTATTCCGTTGCAGACAAAAAGAAATCTCAGAGATCGGCCACTTTGATTGAGGCCAACTAGCGGGAATTGAATGAATGATCCAGAGGTCGTCTTCAAACAGCCTGAGAAGATTATCAACAATTTCATACGGAAATTTTCAGGAAGTGACGAAGATGTTACACATGCGTGTATATAATGCTCGCTGTGTGCAGAAATTAAAGGAATCTGTATAGAAGCCCTTAGATTATTATAGATGGTTCCGATCTTTTCTTAGTAACCATGGAATTGCAAATCTTAATCGGGTTTCTTTCAGAGTTGAAACATAGTTTCCCTTACTGGCTACGTAAGCAGTTCAAAACAATAGGATTTTGTTGTCCGAAACTCAACGTGTGTTACATGAAATATCTTTACTTTGCCAGAAAAACTGAATATGGTATGCTATACTATGTCATCGAATAATGAGCTTTATTTTCTTTGCAAATGCAATGAACAGTGTGGTGTGGCAGTTAGAGATAATTACACAGATTATTACGCTTCTCGAATCGGTAAACGGGACTGCTGCTTTTAGCAAGACAGTGCTACTTTTCATACATTCAGTGAAACCAAAATGTTCTTGCTCATGCCTTTCGGCAACTCTATCATTTCAAACGGGTTATGGTGGCCTAGTTGACCCAAATATTTGCCCAAAGAATTTTTTTTGTGGTTGTATATTAAATCCAAGGCCTGTGCAAACATTTCACATGCACTAGATAGCATAAAGAGGAACATTATAACGGCAGTTAGTAACATCAGAATACAGTCTTGTAAAGCATTTTGACGGCGACTCCTGCATCACTCTGTCAGCTTCCTCCAGTTTAACTTTAGACAAAATTCGGTCTTGAGCATATCTTTCTGTCTGCAATTGAGTCACATTCCAAAGTACTGGTAATTAGCGTTATTTTCGTCGAAGCTATAAGCACTGTCGCATCTTTATATTTCTAACAAAACTTGTTTACGAAACGCACATACGAATGGCTAGCAAAATAGTATTTAACCATGAAAATTCTTTCTTTCTGGAAAAAAATCTTTCTATCTGCCTAACAATACAGGGATTTTATGCAGACGTCATATGAGAATTAAACTATAGATAGAGCGTAAACTCATTATTAATATTCCAAAAAATTGTCAGCTTGTGATAGATGATACAGTTATTACAACTAGAATTAGA